CCCCAATAACTGGGCTCCCCAGAAGCCTCTGTGTAATTCATGCCCTCTCCAGTAGTGTTAGTTATATGGTGTTTATAAAAGCCCCTCAGACATTACTGACATGTTCTAATATTATCAGATGAAAAACTAAATTATCAGACATGCTGTCTCATCTGCTGCTTTTCTAAACTTGCAAAAAGTAACAAAATCATTTGAAAGCCACTATTTGTGGATTCTCTGAAAGTTTCCATGGAGTGTGGGACAACTTATTTTTTCATTGATCCTATCGTCTAATCTCACAGCTGAAACAAGCATCCTTAATAATCTGTGCACAGGAAGCTTACCGATGCTGTAGTAAAACAAAAGGTATAATAATTTATTATTAATAAAACCTTGTCGCAGCACTAAAGCAGAAAAATGATATTTTGCATTAAATATGCAAAATATTTACATATGAATTGTTTTAGAGCCGTTTTATTGGCAGAATCTGATATTAATTTAGTTCTTACAAAAAATGGGTCCCAACATGGTTTGTGTGGCGTTGCCATAGTGTGACGTCATAGGCACAGATCCCCTGTCCTCTTGTTTGGAAATGGAAATATGGTCACCCTACATTAAACAAACTGTCCACCCGGGCTTTTGCGCTGCACAGAGACGCTTCGCTGCCTACGACTGAATGTCAGTTGAGAGTCAGTCTCATGCAGACTGACCAATGAAGAGAGGGCCTCAAGTTAAGACCCTCTCCTCATTGGTCAGTCCACACGAGGTGGGTCAAAGGTTACTCTGGGCGGGTTACGTGTTGTCAGGCATTCAAGTATTGAGTATATTTACTGCATATTACAGTAATATATTCTGTATGTGACCACATTATGGTGATCCTTGGATCGTGATGATGGAGCCCTTGAATATTGTTGCCCAGGGTACAACAAAGTGTTAATCTGGCCCTGGTTCTGCCGTCACATTCCCGCAGAAACTGGTTGATCACACCGGGGCCAGACTACTAGCATGTGGTTTTACAACCACAATGTCCTCAGAAGCAAAAACGCTTTTAAAAGGGAGGGAGGAGTCCTAACTGTTGCTGCAGGCGTGTTGTGTGAGAGTGCAGTTATATACTGGTTAATATGTTTTTGGGTTCAGTTGCTTTCATGTGGCCTAATGTGAGTCTATTTGGGATCATTGGAATGATCAGCAGCATTTCTTGATGTGACTTTATGGCAGTTGCCCAGGGCATCATCGCAAGGAGGATGGCATTCATTTACTTTTGTTTTATTTGGTATTTTTTTCAGTCATTTTTGGAAATAGTGATCAATTTTGATTAATTCACAGCCTATGTTTAATTACATTTAAAATAAATGTCAACAGATGAGATCAAACAAAACAGATGAGAATTGCCCTTAAGCTGTTTAACTTGGACCAAGCATTTTAGGTCACAGATAGATGTAGCTTAGGGTCTCTGTCTATACACCTTATAAGACAATTTAGGTGATGGCATGTTGTTTTTCTGCTATTGAACTGTTTTCTAATAATGTTGTGTTAAATAAAGTGAAGGAAGGAGAGAAATAACGTTTCCCTAGCAGTTTTTAAAAATTTCCCCATGTAATCCGATTAATCGATTAATCGTGTCGAGACCCCATCCGATTAATCGATTATCCAAATAATCGTTTGTTGCAGCCCTACTTCTATGGAAAGAATGGAATGCGGAAGTCACGTGGTTCATGTAGCTTAGAATAGTTCCAAACAGCCTCTGCTGCTGCATTGACCGCAGTTCATTTTTGGTGTTTCGGAAGGATTTTCTCCGGTAAGTTGATGAAATGTCACCTTATTATTATTATTATTATTTTTTTTTTGCATTGTGAAGCTTTAGCTAACCGCTTCGTACCAAAATAAGCCAACAATGATATTTTATGTTGTCAGTTTTTGCTAGATAACCTTTAATGAGCTAATTGTGTGCAGCTTGTTGATTGTGAGCAGGAGAGGTTTACACAAGCTTGATGAGCTGTACACGGGTTTATTTCAGTTTGTTTGATTCTACGTTTTAAAAATATTCCTCACAGTTTGTAATAGGTTATAAACTTTTTACATTATTAGTTTTATTTGGGTTTCTTTTTGTACAATACGTTGCTGGTTGCTGTATCAACACGAACATGCATCAGAAATGGAAGCACAAATGGAGAGACCAATAATAAAGAAAATGTGATTTTAAAGACAAGTAATTAATGAATATTTTTAAGTTAATAACACTGACTGCAACGAACTGCTGAAGCATGAGACAAACAGAATTACAAACGTAAGAAGATATGTTGTTCTGTTTTGTGGACTCAAGTAATAAGAATAGAATAAAGATAATTCAAGAACAGTAGTTGAACAATAACTTTTAAAAATTAGACATTTTCCATAAAACTGCTCATTTTCACTTGCTTTATAATATTAGCATTTGCAATTTTGTTATTAAGGAATGACAAGAAATAAGAATTAACAATAACACAATTATCAATAAATAAATGTCAAAGAGTAACTAAAACAAAAATCTTATTTAACCATTAAAGGTTAAACTGTATTGTGTGTCCATCTTCATGTTTTCATAGTGGCTGAGCGGAGAGCTGACCAGGAACAACGGTGGTGGCAAATCCCAGTTGGGTCTGTGATGGAGTGATGCACGCCTGGAGTGATGGCCATCTCATCCACAGTAAGCACACACTCTCTTTCCATCTCTGTCATGTCTTTAACCTTCAAACTGAGCATGTCACACACCTCTCCTAACACACCTGGTTCCAGTTTAATGGGCTGCATTTGTCTTTGCAGGGTTCTAACATCAGGCAGAGGGATACTCGTGTCCTGAAGAAACCTGTAGCCTGTTGAACCCACTGAAAAATTGAGTTGTACGGCCTTTTTGATTGTCTGTTTACTTCATTTAATGCCTCTTGTGTTTTTCATGCCTTTTTGATTTTCTATTTCCTCCCTTAGGTTTTCCAGCTGGGTTCCCTGGTTGTATAGCCTGTTCCTTTCTCCTCCTGGCCCTGACGCCGGCTCCTCATGGCTTCCTGGGATGTCCCTCTCTCCTGATACCATCTCATGTCCCCCCTCACTTTCCGTCATCTCATTTGCCTCACTGCTGCTGCTGCTTTCCTCATTCTCTGAAATTATAATGGCACTGTTAGAATAAAGAATCATTTTAAAATAAAATAATTTCAAATATCTAATATTTCAAAAGATTCGTACCACAGTTTACTAGAGTACAATATGTGTGGTCACTGGTCAGTGGATCAACATGCAGTGGTTCTGCTGTACTTCTCACTGTGGGGTCCTTCCTCCTCCTTGGTTCACGGCGATGAACAAACAGGGTTGGAACAGCATCAGCCCTGAGTCTCACCTTGCCTTGCCTAGTCTTAGTAAACTGTTCCTCCTCAAAATGTGCCTGTAGAGTGGTGTATTACTGTAGTTTATTTCCTGCCACATTTAACAGTTTTATAGCAGCCTTGTGCAGTTGAGACTAAACATGTAGAGCCTCGATAGAAAACATTATAGAGTGCACATTAAACTCACTGCACACAGCTTTTTGTTATTGTGATATCTGGTCATGGTGAGGTTGCTCCTGCTGACTTGAGCCAACCATTTTCTTCTTCTCTCTGCATCTTTGGGAAAGCCATAATTCTGATTCCTCCCTCAGACCGATTGCTATATGCAGCGCAGCCAACCATGGTAAGATATTCAACTTATAAAGAGATTATTAAAATACTATTTTTGTACATATAGAAATATTGAACTAAACCAAAAATATAGAGATGTAAAATTGCATTTCAAAATTTTATTCAACTGTAAAATTAGTAATTTCAAATTTTAACCCACGGACACATTTTATTTTAATAATTATCAAAATAAAGTTATTTCAAAAGAGTTTCATTAGGTCTTGAGTACATTGCTCATAATTAATGATTCAGCTTATTTGCACATATGTAATGACTAAACATAATGTTGGTAAAATGCTTTATTTAAAATGCTATTATACATGTTGTACAAGTTTGTAATCATTTTTTTTCATAATTAACACACACTTTTTTATCTACTGTGTTTGACTATACAGTTTTATTGAAAAATTCTTTTTAATTAGTTGCTATTAGTCAGGCTATAGAAGACAGATAAACTGGGTTGTAGATGCATGTGCTGTCTTCACATAAAAATATAAAGTAATGATTGTAAAATGTATTCTACTGAACATAATAGATCATCATTCAAAGCATAAACAGCTACATATTTTCTTCAAGGTAAGCTGGAGCAGAATTCTAGCTTTCAATAAACACTTTAAAATGGATTTACAACTCAAGTTTAGGGCTTCTTAAAGTTATTAAATATGCTTATATTAGAGGAGTGTGTTGAATTACTACATCAAATTTATTGATATATTATATTATAGTAATGTATGTGGTCTAAATGTGTTCTACACTGCTAGGACTGTCGTGTTCCTGTAATGTAGAACAGTCACGGGTGTTTATCTTCCTAAAAATGCTCCGAAAAATATAAATAGGATACTTTGTGAAGGAATTAGGACATAATATATAATATAATATAATATATAATATTATTCAATAATAACCAAAAATTGCCAGGAGAAATGTGATTATATTAAATTTTTGTGATTTGTCCCACCATACGCCGTTCAAACTGACTTACGGCGCTGGGATGTTTGGAACTATTGAGAGCTCCATGAACCATGTGACCGTGAGTCGGTGAGTTCAAAGCGTGTCGCAACTCTCTTTCTACAGATCTGGGTGTGACGAGACGCGTGAGGTTGCCAAGATGGCGATGCTGGGAACCGCCCACTAGGCTTCAATTCAGCTCTTCAGAAACGTACGGGTGACGACATGGAGGGTTTGTCCAACATGCAAACTGTAAGAACAATAAAATTCATTTGCAAGTTGGACTCTTCGAATTTCTTTTATCTGAGTAGAGTTTCTTCTTTTTGTTTATTAGAGGCAATTTTTTAACTCAAAGAAACTGTTATATTAACTAAAAAGTGAACTCACAGGTACACGAGGGAGTGAAGGCCAAGGAAGGTCTCATGGGTCAAGCTGCTTAGTGGGTTATGATCCAAAATCCTGGAAAATGAAAGATAAATAAGACAGGAGATTCACCAGAGCTAAAAGCCAGAAGAAACAGATGGGCCTTAAGCAATCCTTTCTCTTTTTTTGTGAGTAATGTTTTGAGCTCACTGTTAAAAGGTTTCAGCTGTTCCACAGGTGGGGGGGTTCACTGCTGATGTCGCTCTGGATCTGGTGCCAAACCATTAAAAACGTTTTAAATGGGCCCTGAACTGGACAGAAAGCCAGTATCAAGAGGCCAGTTCGGGTGTAATCTGCTGGGATTAACTTTACTGAGGAAATGAAGCTAAGCTGATCTCTTTATCAAATTTTAAGGTGCTGCCAAAAGAAATCACTCCAGATGGATGATCGGAACGAGCCAACAAAGCTGTGGAAACCACGTTTCAACACTTTCAGCAACAGTTTTTTCTTTCTGGTTTCTTGCAAACAAGTAAATAATCAGATCAAGATCAGCATCTGGTCTCAATTTACAGAGATAATAAATCATATTTAATGCATGTACTAAATGGATGAAAACGGATGCAGGAATTTTTCAAATTTCTTGTTTTAAATAATATTTTTAAACATCTAATTTACATAATCTGCTTAGATTTCCATTAGCTGACAAAAAAAAGGGAAAAAAGTCATCTGAGATGCTACAGCCAGATTCTATTTAAGCTGAGAAATGAAGCAATGGTGCAAAAATTGATCCGTCTCTGAATTAAAGCATCAGCATCATTAGTGTCCCACCTTGTGAGCAGGTTCCTGATCTTGTTTTGGAACATTTCAGTTAAATACATTTTGAAAAAAAAAGTTAAAATGGGGGTAAAAAAAATCCATCTTTATCTGCAACAGCTGTGTATCATTTGGAGCTCAGAACCACATTTTTCTGCATTTCCAGTTCTCAACAGGAGGTATTTGCTGTCCTGATGTGTCCTAAAGCAAAAACCTAAAAAGGAAATCCCAAATACAGACCATAATATTATGTGTGTGTGTGTGTGTGTGTGTGTGTGTGTGTTTGCTTGCATTACTCACAGCCATTCTAATCGATTCAGGTCCCTGAACACACCAGGACTAAGGGAGGATATTAAATTTTCACTGAGAAATCTGGAAAAAGCAACAAGCACAGAACATTTAAATAAAAACGAAAATCTTCCATCCATGTATCTGCTGATAAGAGAAACAAAACTAAACAAAAAGAAACCTTTAAAGTCCACAAACATGATTCCTATAAAACTCCAGCTGGGATAAGTTATTAAGGGTTAATGGCTTTTCTCACAAATCAGAACTTATTTTCAGCACATAGAGTTAATTCTTAACCTTTTATTGGGCTAAATATTTATTGTTCCAGTGAATTTTTGCATCAGTGACAGTTGACGTTTAGTTGCTCTGAACTTGAATGGCCTCTTCCGACATGCAGCAGGTGGCTGGCAACAGTGATCTCCTGTTTAGCTTCCCAATTATGCATGCAGGTGATCTCTTTATTTGAATAAGTGAGTAATTATCTTTAATTAATGACTCTGAGCTTTTCTTTAATCCTTTCTATAATAAAACACATTAATTAAACAATTAATGAACAATTAAAACAAATTTCTTGCAGCTTTAAAAATAAGTAAATAAATATATATACTTACAATTTTTTCAAGCTGAACAGACCACTGAATGCGTGTTTAGATACAAACTGGAGGCTGTTGTTTTGCAGAAACCTAAAATTAGAGAACATAAAAACGTTATTTTCTCCTTTTCCTGAAATGTATCCAGAGACCTGAATTTGTATTTGTTGTGATTTAATGATGGTATCTGTAATGATAAATTACAGATTAGTCGGCTCTTAAACGTGAACAAAACAATAACAGTAATTTTTCTTAAATGGAATAACTTTTTTGACAAACATAAGAAAAAAATTAAACAAAAATAAGCAACATTTCAAGACAATATCAAGTGTCTAATAATAAAAATGGTCTAAATTGACTGAATAAAATAAAGTGCAAGAAATCACAGGGTCTCAGGTTAAAATAAAAAAAGATGTAAAAATAGTTTAAAAAAGTGAATCTTTAACACAAACAGAACGAAAAAGAAATAAAACAACGTGTTTGAAATTGTCATAGTTTTAACTTCAACGCCCTTTTTATATGATAAAATACAACAAAAGCAGAATATTTGGGACAATCCTGCACAATAGATTGAATTAATCACGTTTGCAGCACAGTTTTTGTGATTAAACCTCCACCTGGAAGGTCTGTGAGAATAAAGAGTAAGAAATGTCCAACTGTTAAGGTCAGGAAGTGGTGACCTCATAGCAGCCGTGCGGATCGAGTCCTATCATTTCCACTAAAGAACAAAACATCTGCAAGAAACCCGGAGGATCCTTATCCTTCTTATTCCAAAGTAATAAAAATTTGCAGCTTTGTTTCTTCCATCTTCTTTTTTTTTTTTTTTTTTGCTTTAACAAATTTCTTGAACAAACAAAAAAAAAAAACTCATCAATTATATTTAATGCTATTTAGCCAATTACAGCTCTAATCCCTGAAGTGCACGTATGAATCCTGAGTAATTGTGGATAATAAAACTGCAACAGCGGCATACTTTTAACTGATGAAGCTCCATCATTAATTTTTATGTGAAACTGTATTTTATGTGACATCAGGTGATGCCACGTTGTTAAAAACAGATAAAAATTGGGCCTGGAATTAGTTTAGAGCTTAAGGAAAAACAAAATAATGACAATAAAACTGTGCAAACAATTTCATTTCCTGTTGTAAAAGTTAGTCTGTGCAGACAAGCATTAATTTTATTAGTATTTTTATTAGTCTGATCGGAATAAACGTAAAAATATAGCAGCAAAATGCAAAAGTAGATTAAAAAGTGACCTACTGAATAAATAATTAGGGTAACTAATATTGCTGTTGACTGCTTGCTTTATTTTCATATTTATACATGAGCTTGTTGATGCTTTTTCCCTTTTTTAAGCTACATTTTAGGGGTTTTATTTAAAATCCTGATCATTATGTGCATTTTAAAACTTACGAGGTGATCACAGACCCATGTTGAGTGTAAACAGTAATCTAAAGCAAACATCTGCTAATAATATAACTGTTTAACCTCTTCACATCATTAATATGAAGGCTTGTAGCTGCAGTCACTTATTCAATATATAGATACAGTAACAATTAGACCACACCCTGTAGTCATTCTTTAGTCTGAATATTATTGATTAAGGACATAAAATTACTAGAACAACTCTAATCAGCCACTGTCTGCTCATTTCTGCAGCAGGATCAACAGTGAGCCATGCAGCAGAACTACGGCAACACAATTAGAACAAAAATGTTGCTACATCTTACGTCACATGTTAAAAAGTTAGTCACAAGGTTAAGAGATAAAAGGAGCTTGCAGACACAAGTAATTCTTCATCACTACCTTCTCCTCATTCAGCTCTTTCTACCAATCCTGCCTTTCCCCGGATCCACTGATTACCTTTTCTCATTCACGTTCCTTTTCCCTTTCCTCACATTTTTATTCACAGTTTTTACTATTGCCATTTCATGCTATCTTCAAACATTTTTTTAATCTTTTAGATATTTTTGTTCTTTTTTTAAATAATTTGAGTTCAAAAAACGAGTTAAGATGAGCTGAACTTTGAACGTCTTTTCTCATCCATTACAAAATATTTAAGTAGTAAAATAAAACTAGTTGAGGGGACAGCAGTAGCTCAGGAGGTAGAGTGGGTTGTCCAGTAGTCGGAAGGTTGCAGGTTCAATCCCGGCTCTGACCAGAGAATGCTGCTGATGTGTCCCTCGGCAAGACACTTAACCCGCCTTGCCTGCTGGTGGTGGTTGGAGGGACTGGTGATCAGTGGGCCCCAGGGCAGCCGTGGCTACACCGTAGCTCATCCCCACCAGTGTGAGTGAACGGGTGAATGACTATGATTATGTTGTGAAGCGCCTCGGGGGGGTTGAAGAACCGTAAGAAGGCGCTACACAAATAGAGGCCATTTGCCATTTTTCTATAGTTGAGAGCAAGGACGAGATATTTTAAATCATCCTGCGTTGTTATATCTACCATGAAAGGAGACACATTGTGATGTTTTTTCTTACGTTATGTTACTTCTATGGTCGATACAAAACAGGGATGTGTATTGCTGAAATTCCGGCGATACAATACGTATCACGATACAGGGGAGACGATACGATAAATCACGATATATTGCGATCCATTCAGCCAGACGATATTAGCAATTTTTTTTAGACTGAATTTATTGGAAGAAAATTCAACAAAAAGTGCTAACTGATGCGTAACATGTGTAACATATCTGAACCACGATAGAAGGATTTACACTTCAATGGTGGAAACAAAACCCACTGCACACTTCTGCCAACTAGCGGTTGGCCTTTGAATTGCACCAAAAGAAAAGAAAATACACAAATGTTTGCATGTAAATTCTTCCAAGAAATCAACACACGGCTTTTGAATATCGATATAATATCGCAGGGAAAAAAAAACAATATATTGCCATATCGATATTTTCTTACACCCCTACAAAACATGTTTATGAAGTTCTTTGCACCAAATCCCTCTAAAATGAAAATGATATTCGCAGTTTTATTCTCAACATTTTCAGTACCTTCCAGAGTGAGCCGTTTCAGGGCTCTGCCAATTTAAGAAAACACACTGGAGGTGGCCACACGCACTCCTCTCATGCTCAGGCTGCTATAAGCCGAGACGCTCTGATATCCAAGAGGGGCTTGGAGCAGAGCCGCTGCTCCTCCAGCAGAACTTCCCTCTTTCATGTGAGAGGTGATTCTATTCTACTCCCCATTTATGACATCACAAACAGGAACTTTTGAAACGGCTTGTTTTAGACACATAATTTCCACTAACAAAAAAATAAAGATTTTTTTCACACTTGGGTGTGTTTACAGAGACAGTAGAGACTCACATGGCTACAAACAAAGATGCAAATGGTAAGTTTGGCAGAATATGTCCCCCTAAAATGTTCTTTTAGCTGTTTTCTTACATTTCCTTCAGAAATAAACCCCAAACTCAGTTATGTAACAAACAAAAGATGGAGGTCTAATGGAGATGACACTACTCACAATCTCTCTAGCGCCGAGTATTCAGAGAAAACAAAGTCCGGCAGAACATGGATTTTGTTGCTCCTCAGCGACCTGCAACGCAATCCGAGAAATAACAAAGTTAGAAAAACAGGCTGCAAGCAAGGAGGTACGGAGAGGTGAAAGACAAGAAGCTGATCCTGAAAGACAGCAGAAATATGAACACACAACACACACAGACACTCTGTGTCAATATCAGTCCTGTGTGCAATAAAGCACGATGAAACATCCATCCATCTTCTGAACCCGCTGGTCCACGTGGGGTTGCGGGGTGGGGGTGGGGGTGGGGTGTCCTCAGGTGGGGTACACTCTGGACAGAGAGCCAGTCCATCGCAGGGCAACACAGAGAGAGACACAGGACAAACAATCATGCACACACACACTCACACCTAAGGACAATTTGGACAGACCAATCAACCTAACAGTCATGTTTTTGGACCGTGGGAGGAAGCCGGAGCACCCGGAGAGAACCCACGCATGCACAGGGAGAACATGCAAACTCCATGCAGAAAGATCCCAGGCCGGGAATCGAACCCAGGACCTTCTTGCTGCAAGGCAACAGCTCTAACCACTGCGCACCCCCATGGTGAAACATTATATAAATAAATAATTATTAATTAAATAGAGGAAAGAAAACCTGCTCACTGTTCTCAGACAGAAAAATCACCATTAGAAATAAAAAAAAGACTTATACAGACAAGACTGTGGCTTAGTATTATTATCATTAAAGATGAAATCTGGTTTAATTTTAAATAAATGAAGACCTTTCAAGGCCACAGAGACTCAGGATAAACGACAACCTCTGAATGTGGTTAGCATAATTTCATCATTTAATTCCATAGTGGGATATCTTAAGTCTTCAAAATCGCAGCAATAAATTTAGAGCTGACTAGGCTTGTTGGATAATCCCACTCTTCATATGATTTACCCAGCAAACCTAAAATGAATTAGTTATTTTTAATTTATTTTTTGAAAAGTGGTTAATTTGCAAAAACGTGATGCAAGAAAAGAAAAGTGTCTTTGATCAAAAGAGTTGAAAGGAAATATAAACAGTTGCAGAGCTGCACCTAAGTAAAGACCATTATTCCCTTCAATAAATGAGTTAGTTTAATATCTCTCCTCACTTCCCAGCTCAGACCAGAAAGTCATTTATTGCAAGGATAACCACTTTTTATGCTTCATGATAAGAAAAAATTGCATTCAAACCTCTAATTGATGCTGTCTGACATAAAAGGAAGAAAAAGCAGAACGTATGTTCATTTATCGGCACAATAACTAAAATAAAGTTCCTTTTAACCACTGACCAACTCTGAAAAATCCCATTTAAATGACTCATCAATGACAAATTAGGAGCACAAACTAAGGCCCTGTCCACACGTAGCCGGGGATCTGCAAAAACGTAGATATTTTTCTACGTTTTGGCCTGTGATCCACACGAAAATGAATTTTTTTCACACGAAAACGGATCTTTTTAAAAACTCCGGCCAAAGTGAAGATCTGCGTTTTCTCCGTTTTGGGTGTCTGAGTGTGGACAGACAAAACCGGAGTTTTAAGGTCCGCAACGTCACTTTCCGCGACAAAAAAATGCTGACATCACGTGTGCGACCTGTGTTTACACTAGCCGACAGCATGGATGCCCTCAGAGCTGCGCTCGCTTTATCAATTGTCCAAGCGCTTTTTGCTTGTTTGTTTTTGCAAGCGGAATTACTGCTCCTTGCGGAAGACCACAGACGAAGGACGAGGTTAAGAACGGGGGAAGTACTCCCGCCTACAGGTCTGGCATGTCCTTAACAACGTATTTATCCGGGTATGTGTGGACAGAGTTTTTTAAAAACGAGGTGGTGTGGATGCAAGTTTTTGGAGGGGCGGATATTCGTTTTTAAAAAAACCCGGCTACGTGTGGACTAGGCCTCAGTTCTGTGTGTCACAATGGGTGTAGCTAACCTCTCCATGAGTTTTCCTGTTTGCAGGTGGGCGCGCCCGGAGAGCAGCTGCTGCAAATTCTCGCATCAGCTCGCAGGGGATTTAATATGGCGCGGTGTGACAACTCACCAGTGCCGGATGATTACTCACATTGGGTAGTATACACCAGCTCTAGACCTGTTTCTAGTTGTTTGCAGGGGCGGATTAAGGACTGAAGAACATCCGGGGCTCAACACACACACATACACGTGACACGCACTAGTCAACATCATATATGTCTTGAACCACATAATTTTAAATCTGAAGCTACATATTAAGCATATTCAGGGCAGAGTATTGTTCCTGTTAGTGTTTAGTGTGAGATGATAGTAAATATTCCCTTTCTTGCTCCAACAACTTTACCTGATAGTAAGCTAACTTTAGGCAAACCAGCAGCACAACAAATATTTTCAAATAAGACTCACAAACCTGAGTCAACACCAGTCTCATCAAAGCTGGGGTTCTGTTGCTGTACTTTTGGTCTAAAAAACGTCCTCATGTCCATCTTCACTCATGCGTTTCAGGCAGAGACTGTAGAAGAAGCCGGCTGCTGAAGGGCTTCTTCTTCAGTGGTGGAGGCTCAGGCAGGCTGTATACAAACTACTGCCAGCTGCTCCCTCTCTGTTGGACTTTGGTACTGCATGTTACTTCCGCGATTTAGATCCGGGGCTTTTCATGAAACATCCGGGGCTTCAGCCCAAGTAGCCGGGTCTAACGCCGCCCCTGGTTGTTTGCATCCTGTTCTGCCTGTTAAAGCCTCGTCATCACCTGTCATGTTCCTCCGATCTCCCGCCCAGGTACTCTAATCATCTGCCTGTTACCAGCTCGTCAACCTGCACTCTCACCTGTTACAACAAGGCGCCTCCGGATCGCCTGTCCACCCGCCACACCGCTTCTCCCTTTGGCCGTCTGCTCTCCTGCGCTCACCTGCCCGCTCCTGTAACCGGTGCTCAGCTCCCAGCCTCCTCCAACAGCTACCACTCAGACCTGACACGCCCTCCTCTCAGCACTCCACTACCTTACTGGAATCCGTAAGCCTCCATTCTAATCACACCTTCCCCGTCTGCTTTACATTACTCATTCTTGTTCTCTGTCTCAGAACGCTGCCAGAACCGCCCTCCCCCGACGTCTCCCCAGCCTCGTCAAACTCAATAAATAATATATTATTTTTACTCATGTAACGTTATGAAGTTCATTATTTTCAGCTCCACACAGCTGCCCCTGTACACAGTAACACCCGTGTAGAAAACGCCAAGATCGGGTGTTCCTCAGACTGTTTACATTCCAGGAGAAGAGCCAGAAGGAGAAGAAGAACGCTTTTCAATAATCAAAGTACTTAATTTGTGATTAAAGCTAGTCGAAACAGATGTTGATCAATAATAATCAAGTGAATGATCTGTGGAATAAAGATGTCATGATTTATGTGTTTAAAGAAAACAGGACTACTGCACAGACAGACTGACCCTCATCTCCATAGAAACACATGACACATTGTTCCAACCAATCAGAGCTTTCGGCTGCCGCAAGAGAATCTGGCTTGTTGACTTAAAGTGTCTAATCCGCTTTACTAAAACTTATCAACAATTCAGAGATATAAAACAAGGCAACGCCATTTTAAGCTCAGTTCCATTTTGACTTCAGTTCTATTCACCATCATCCCAAAGAGAAGCACAGCCTGGCCAGATGTGTTTTCTTCTTTAAACTAAGAACTGTGAAGTTGGAGATTTTCGTCGTTTAACAACCAGACGACAGCCTTTCAAAATAAGAGCACCTGCTGACGCTGCCGATTGTTACCTGGGTCGACCCTTCAGACGGGCTTTGAAACGCTGCGATCGCTGTTTCGACCAGCTCCAGCGCACATCCGAGGTCTTCAGACCTGGCATTTCCTGATCTACCTGGGAGACCCCCACTGGGTACGTACACGGCAAAATAGCAGCTCATGTCATGACTTTATAAGCCTCGTGATATCTAGTCATAACAATCAAAGACGACCAGATTCAATGACGTCAGCTTAAGGAGTCTGAACCAACCACACACACACACACACACACACACACACACACACACACACACACACACACACACACACACACACACACACACACACACACACATCGAACATCACATTCATTTCCAAACAACACAGAGTTAGTCCTGATAGATTGTTAAGAATTTATAATTAAGAAATTAAAGATTCTTAAATGATCCCAACTCTCTCTCTTTCTTGTCTCAAAGTCAATACAGAGTGTTTAATTAAACTCCCTGATGATAGAAACAGCCTATCTTCTGATTATAACAAGTGATCTACTTACAGTATATTAAAATACAACTCTAGATAGTTACATCACTCTATTTCTCTACACTCACTTTGTCTCTTCGTGATTCTGCACGTCGTGGGTCAAGACTCAATCCTAACATGACACTGTGGTTCCAATTACCGGTACATTAATGTCCCAGATTTATTATTCCTTAGAACAAATAAAACGAAAACAAACACAAAACCGCCTCTAAAGGACATTTGTATGCATGGCTCTGGCAAACAAGAAATAAGAGTTAAATTATCTAACTAATTGAAACCAAGTATGCAAAGTCTGATCTCATAAAGCGCTTTATGAATTGCTATCAGTATTTAATGAGGCAGAACTATTAGGTTGAGCTCAGCAGGGACATGGAACATCAATAGGTGTGCTCTGTAGTAAGATCAAAGGTACAAAAGTTCATTTAAAACAAAATAGAAAGCAGGGGAATAAAGGCAAAGCATAAATGTTTATAATCTACAGGTGAAACATAAAGAGCGAAGGAGATGACTTTTAAAAATATGAAAATGTTTGAAAACTAAGATATGGAGAATAATTATTTAGTATGCTTTCATTTAATTCTTTTCTACTGTTATTTGAACAGCAAAGTCCCCTTTGTCCTCATCTGCTCTTCCTCTGAGCCACAGCCTCTTAATGAGGATCATTATGAAACTCTGAAGGCTCTGAAGTCATCTGATAATCCAATCAGGCTTAGGAAAAGGCTAAGATGTCGTTGCTGTCTTTAATGACCCGCTCTTCGTGTGAGAAGTGGATTGCTGTGAAACTGTCTAGAGATCAGTGCTCATTTCAGACAATGTCTGCCTCCTGGGATAAAAATGGACGCAAACTTTATCTCTATCCAAAAAATTAATGTTCCTATCCTCAAAAGAAGGTGCAAATAATTTGGGACTGGAGCGTAAGAATATAGGAAGTACAGGCATTATGTGATACTCAGTCACTAATATTACTGTGACGATAGGAAATCATGACAGATTTGAACGTGTCAGTGATGAGCCAGAATCAAGGTTATAGTATTTGTGGGCCAAAATCTTTTTTTTTAAATTAATTTAAAAATAGCAAAAACTATTTTATGGTCATATTTTTAAAATGTGTACTCCTCAAAATAGGAATTTTAGTCAAATCTGAAGATAAAACACATTAGAAAGTGTTGAGATGCATCAACATCTGCACCAATTCAGCCTACGGGCTGCAAAAAGATCTGATAAAATTTTCATAAGAGAGAACTGTTTCCATCCAGATGATTTAAGATGTGACACACTGAGCCTGATCCATTTAAAGCAAAACTCTGGATTATTTATTTTATCTGATGGCATAATCTAATGGCTGACAAATGTATGGCACCGAGCCGTGGTTTTACTTCCATATTTACTTTGACTCTTAAAGTCTCTTTCTGGACAGAGTTCTGTCTTTTTCTGACACTATGTGGCCTGAATGGGCTGGAAGGACATGAGCAAATAAGAAGGAAGAAGCTGTAATAGCTTAAGGTTACTCTTAACTGCAGCCACAAGATTGCTGCACTGGATGGTAGATAACAGCCCTGGTTCAAAAAGATGATGCATTTACACGATAGAAGCATGGCATGATAATAAAATAAATAAATAAATAAATCACGTAAAACCTTCCTATCTGATCAAGAATTCACTTTCCTGTTTATATAGTTCCTGTATATATGTATGCATATCGCTTGTGGTTGAAATATTTTAAAATCTCAAATGTAAAAAAGTAATTTACAGGTCTTACTGGTAATAATGCTGAAATTGCTTTCGAAGCAATCAGTAAACGTAGTTCAACAGCCAACAGAGAACATCCAATGACAGGAATAATAACATTAATAGAATCTTGAAGTAATCTGGGAGACACGATGTCATACGAGCTCATAGATGTACGAGAAGATGCTAGTTGCATTAGAGATGGAAGTCAAATTTATGTGATATAACTGATAATGGATGGCTGTATGTGTGTGTGTGTGTGTGTGTGTGTGTGTGTGTGTGTGTGTGTGTGTGAGTGAAGAGCAGAACTGAATGTTGCTGCTGGAGGTCACACTATCGGGGATTTTGCTGGACAATTAGTGCACCGCAGCACCTTTATATTTAGCTAGTTCATCCTGATACCTCAACATGTGACTGTTTACATTTATATTAAGTTTTCTTTATATTTCTGTCTGTAGTTTAGACTTGTCTTATTAAGGTGTGTGTGTGTGTGTGTGTGTGTGTGTGTGTGTGTGTGTGTGTGTGTGTGTGTGTGTGAGAGAGAGAGAGAGAGAGAGAGAGAGAGAGAGAGAGAGAGTGAGAGTGTGCGTGACGTCTATTTTAGCCTTATTATTTTGTTTTACTCATATTTTACTATCTCCTGCATGAGCTGTCTTTAGTGAGTGCAATAAATATCCAAAATCTTGAATAAGATTAGAAAAAGTAAAATTTCTCCCCTTGTCTAGATGAAGTTGGACTTAAAACATCTTTAAACTTCAGGCCAGTTGTGTTTGTAACGATTCTCAGTCATCCATCTAGAACGTTTGTTTGGAAATAATCAAATATTTCTTGTTTTCCTTGAAGATGTTTCGCCTCTCATCTAAAAAGCTTCTTCAGTTCCAGCAGTTGTTTCCAGCTAAACCTTCACGATGGTGGTCAGTGGATGAGCTTAAAATGATAGGAAAATGAAAGGAAGTTTGATGAGATAAGATTCAAATTGAGCTCCGTCCCGAAGCGCTCCTTTGTGAGAGGGGGGGGGGGGGGGGGGGGGGGGGTTGCACGCCATCGGATAGATATATATTTTTCATATATATATTTTTTATATATATACATATATATATTTTTTATATATATATATATATATATACACACACACACACACACACACACACACATATATATATATATATAATGTTGCCAGCTCTGCATCAATTTAGCTACTTGAGCAAAAGCTTGCACACTAAAACTATCCTATATGAATTTTTAAAAACAATTATGTATAATTGCTGAACGGGGAAAGTTCCAGATTGCTGCTTTAAGTTATTAAAAAACAGAAGACACTTACAGCCAGGTGACATTTGGAGAGATGGGGGGCACTTCCTTTAGGTTGACCTCCACACACTCAACATCTGTTTGGATGCAGTCACAGCTTTCTGGGTAGTCCTGCAAAACTACAAAATGAAAATAAATCATTTTCAGGCACAAGATCTGCTGCAAAAAATTAACCAGCATCAAGTCAAACAAATTATAGGGTAATGAACAGGTCAGAAAGGTTTTTGACTCAATGCGTGAAAGTACAAATTGCTCCTATTTTATATCAACCAGTGTTGCCTTAACAGAGTCCTCGCATCCATTTAAGAGCTTTGGATTGTGCAACACTCCTCAAAATAAAAAAAAGGAAAGAAAAGAAGGCTATAGTTGCTTTTGACTGCAATAATTAAAGTTTAAAAACATTCATGGAAATTGGAAAACACTCATGTTTCAATATTTGTTGTCTCCGTTTTGATTATGAAGTTTAGAGTCCAGAAAAGTATGAGGAGTGGTCAAATAAGTAGCATTTGATTGCAAAAACCATCTTCGCCACAAGAATTTACATAATCCCAAATACCGTTTCCTCTGAACTCATGGAAAAAGATGAGATGAACCACCTTCGCTTCAATTTCAGACACCGGGACGAAAAGACTCATGGAAAATATCTGATCAAATGAAAGTATAATATTGTCTTTAGAAATAAAACAAACCATGTGCAAACTTACAGCACTCATACAGGAAGGAAGGTATCACAGGTCCATTCTGAAGCGTTTCACCTATGAAGTCTGCCAGGCCAATGTTGTCACCTGTAGAGATGAACAAAGGAGACACGGTACAGAACTCTACAGGTCCTCTGGGATGCCCCCCAAAAAAGGCTTTTATCAAACATTAGTGAGCACAAAGGATCAAAATTCTTCAGTGAAGTGGAGACACGCATATGCCGGGAAGTTACCGTACATTTACCCTGAAGTTCCGACAGTGGAAACGCACCTAATATTCCAGATTTATATGATTTATCATCTGTTAAAAAAAATAAACGACTAAATAATCCACTTTGTATTTCCCTCCTTCATTAGCTTTTGTTGCTTGTAGCCTAGCAACTCGACATCAGCTGCTAACACATGATTTGTACTGAAATGCGTTGACACAGCAACCTGCAAGAATCACTGACAAGCTGTCAGCGATTTAATAAAAGCCATATTTTGCATCAGTGGCTCTGAGCTGAGCATGGTGCTGCTGTTACACGCGATGTCTAAATTTAAGCATGGCAACAAATTCTGCATGACTGCCAGCCTCTTCTTACAGCCAGCCATAACTCAAAGCCTCCACAATGCTGCACCGAGGCAGGAGTTAAGAAATGTCTCTGCTGCTATGACAGTTCACGTCACACCTTGCAGAAAACTCTAGTTGGCTATCGTTCTTCCCTTTTCATGACATACAACCATCCACTTCCTGCAGACTCTGTTCTGTTTCCAGATGGTTGGAGCTTTTTCCCCTGCAGTCAGAGGGTGAGAAGCGGGGTGGACAGGTCTCCATTCGTATGACATAACATTGTGTCTAACCAGGACACCCAGAGGAGGATTCTTGTCAGAGTCTCCCAAAGACATGTCACCTCCTTTTCTCGTCTCTTTATTCTTTCTGCGGCGTGTTTTATCACCCTGTCCTAGTGTTTCTACTCTTCCGTGCATCCAGCCAGTCTACCTTTATACTATCTAAATCAACACGCAGTCTTTATGGTATTCTCTGTTTAATGATCCTGCCAGATATTTACCCCTTTAAGTACGTCTGTCCCTATAGGTTACAGGCGAATGAACCTCCATAATGAGGAAGTGCAGTCAAACATGAAAAACAAGCCAGTTTTTGTTGTCTTAACAAAGGGCACTGAATCAGCAAAGTTTATTACATCTCAAAGATGAAATGATGAGTGCTATAATTTTTAGGTGTGCTGTTTTAAACAACAAGGTGGGAGGATAATAAAAGTGGATTTTCCGTGCAGCGGTTTATTCCTGCACTGAGGATGCACTACATCTGTCCCAGCCAGGCACAAAGCACAAAAGACCAGACAAAAACTTTACCTCTGCCATCTTTACAAATAACAACCAGCTTTGAAAGCGGTTACCACTTATCCAGCTTGCTATTTTATTGTTACATTGCATTTATTCTTCGTTTCGCCAGGAATGATCCCACTGAGAAAGAATGTGGATTCAACCAGGTCCTTAAATTTGACTAAATCTCAGGCTGGAACCAGTTCCTTGTAATTTTCAGCGTCAGGGATAGATGTACAGCTGTGGCCAAGGATGACACAAAGAAATAACAGTTTCAATATTTGTTGTCTCCGTTTTCATTATGAAGTTTAGAGTCCATTAAAGTATGAAGAGTGGTCAAATAAGTAGCATTTGATTGCAAAAACCCCTCTTCGCCACAATAATTTACATAACCCCAAATACTGGTTTCCACTGCATTTGTGGAAAAAGACTTGAAAGTGCTTAAGCAGCATTAGGATCTTCTAAGACCCAGTTCTCACCGCATAATCAATATACCAATTTCTGACCGGATTCTCCCCTTCCGACAATCTTAAGATCACACCTAATTACTGTAAGGCAGCTTTATTTATAAAACACATTTCATACAGAGGCAATTCAATGTGCTTTCCAAGTAAGAAGAATGATGTAATGGCTCTAAAGATAATCTTATCAGATATTCCTGCTGTGTGAGGAGTGCTCTGGTCTGCTGGAAAGGATGTCAGGACCACTCGGATCATAAGCCGGGGACATCAAGCTTGTGGGCCATTCCCATCTGTACCGGGTCGGCCCAGGCCGGGTAGCCCCAGTCGGCCCCAGCCTGGCCCGATTGATTCCACACATCCTTGCCTTAAGCCCATGTGGGCTGATTCTACCCACCAATCAGAGGCTTGCTCTAATGGAAGGTGTGAATTTGCTGTCAGCAGTGGGTGTGTTAGCCCTGGTCAGCCTGAAGCAGACCCCCTCGAGAAGAGCGCTGAGAATGAGCCTTGGTTGGCCCGGAAAAATACCAGGCCACCCAGATATGTAAACAACCTACACTACCCGGCCCGGGTCGACCCGGTACAGATGGGAATGGCCCATTGGTTTACTGTCTTGGTCTGATTTTGAGGACAAAAGTGTGCTGCCTGTTGAATATACTGTAACATGTAGCCGAACAAAAGCAGGATGAAGTAAGCACACTGCAGGCTTCTCCTCCGCCATGTTTGGGAGGCTTCCAGGAAGCATTCTAACCAGATGCTTGAGACACCTCAACCGGCTACTCTCAATGTGGAGGTGTAGCTGGTCTACTCCGAGCCCCTCCCGGATAACCGAGCTTCTCACCCTATCTCTGAGGGAGAGCCCAGCCACCCTGCAGAGAACACTCATCTCAGCTGCTTGTATCTACTCCGATCTCGTTTTTTCGGTGACTACCCAAAGCTCGTGACCATAGCTGAGGGTTGGAACGTAGACCAATCGGTAAGTCGAGAGCTTTGTCTTCTTGCTCAGCTCTCTCTTCACCACAACAGATTGGTTCAACGCCCACATCACTGCAGATGCAGCACTAATCTGCCTATTGATCTTGCGTTCCATCTTTCCCTCACTCGTGAACAAGACCTCGAGATACTCAAACTCCTCCACTTGGGGCAGGACCTCATCACTGACCTGGAGAAGGCCTTTTACCCTAGTTTGTTTTCCATCTTCACTCATAGCGATTCTATGTTAGAACATTGTTAAGAGGCCTGAAAAAGATAGTTTTAAGCTAGCTTGTTTTGCAGATTTGCCATCGTATCTTTAAAGGTTGGTGTATGCTTGACGCGTCCGCGAGGTCCACACGGCTCCGCGCGGAAAAAATGCGTCATTTTAACAACCACGCCCCTCCACTGCGCCTCCACACGGCCCAAACTTTCCGCACCGCGCACCTAGGAAATTTTCTAACCACGTGGACGGTCGAATGCGGAAAAACATGGCGGACTGGCAAGAACTAGTATGGCAGAGGTTCGTAAAAACAGACATTTGTATGATTCAGCTCTCAAAGATCACCGTGATCAACATGTTGTTAATAATTCTTGGAGAGAAATAGCTCGCACTGTCGGAAAAGACGAGGACGCTGTTAAAATATGCTGGAATGCCACGTTGTAAACAACAGTTTTTACTTTTACTATGGTGTAGTGTCGGATGCATGCTGCAGAGCTCCATGCTGCCCCCTACAGTTTGGGAGAATATTGGCTCACCGCAGAGACAAGCCGCATGAACCATAAATGCTGCAAGTTGTGAAGCGCGTTCCATCCGCGAGCCGCATCACCAAGCATAAAGTGAATGCGTCAAGCATAAACCAAGCTTAACACTCTTAATGTTTTCTGCCTCCACCCAAATGACCCGATTCTTCTTGTCTAGTTTAGTTTGATCCAGAAAAAAACAAAGTCTATGAAGATATTTTTCCAGTATTTTTTTTAATCTTTATTTCATAAAAAAAAATAACACAACAGATACTAAACAATATTCATGAAAACACAATATATATTTGAATGAAAGGGAGCAGATAGAAGAAAAATCTTATTATTTCTGCCCCCTTTTTAAACTTAAATATCAATTTATATTTGTGCAGTCCCTCACCAGTTCTTTCAGTCCCGTAACTGTTCACATTTGTTAATTATTATGTCCACATCAATTGTCCGTTGTCATATCCACTCAACACACGTGATTTAATGTGTAGACTGAACACTTTTAGAGTTCTTGACTCTTTCCATTCTCTGTCCAGGCAATTCCACAACTTCACACCATTCACAGATATGCTCATTTCCTTCATTCTTGTTCTAAATCTAGGTTTTTTTTGAAGATTTCAAATCCCTTCAACGAATAACTCCTATCTCTCTTTTCAAATATATGCTGAATATTCTTTGGCAATGTGCCTTTATTTGCTTTATACATTATATGCAATATTCTCCAGTTGACCAAATCATGAAATTTAATTACTTTATATTTTATAAATAATGGGTTAGATCACAATGAAGTCTGGACAAAACACCTGAGATGCTACAGGAGACGAACAA